TGGCAGCTATAGCCGGAGATGAGCGCGCTCCATGCCACCAGGCTCTTGCTCTCGAGCGCGGAGAAGACCGCCTCGGCCTCGTCCATGCAGCCACACTTTGCGTAGAAGTCCACCAGCGTGTTGGCGAGGAAGGCGTCCGTGTGGAAGCCGGCGTCTCGGGCCTGCGAGTGGATCCTCCGCCCGACCTCCAGCGCCCCCAGCCGGGTGCAAGCGATGAGCACCGCCACGAACGTCCGCGCGTTTGGTCTCAGCCAGGAGGTATCGACGTGTTCGTCGCTGCTAGCCAAAGGAGTGATGGCCCCGGTGGTGCTCGTGCTCGTCATCCGGAAGAAGAGGTCCACGGCCAGGCCGTTGAGTCCGTTGTCGCTGTAGCCGAGTATGAGCGCCGTCCAGGAAACCACGTCGTGGCGCTGCATCCGATCGAATACTCTCCGGGAGTCGAGCATGCTGCCGCACTTGGCGTACGCATCCACCAGCGTGTTGCCGAAGAAGATCTGGCACTCGCCTTCCTCCCTGGTCACCCGAGAGTGGAGAGACATGACCTTGTCCAGACACCGGAGGTTCAGCGGCATTGTCAGGTTGATGTTGCTGCTGCCTTGCTGCTCCTGCGAGGCCAAACTCCCGCAAGCCACCAGCGCGGATATGAAGCTGCGGACGTTTGGCTTGCAGCCACTGGCTTCCATTGCGTCAAAAGCCTCCACAGCTTTCTCAGGCTGGCCGTTTTCAGCGTATCCCAGAACGAGTGTGTTCCACAACACTGCATCCTGACGATGGCTCTTGTCGAAGACGCGCTGCGAGTCGTCCATGCTCCCGCACTTGGCATACATGTCAATCAGAGTCCCTGCTACGTAGCTGTCCCTGTCATATCCAGAGCTTGCAGCTCGAGAGTGTAAGTCCCGTCCTCTCTCCAGGCATTTCTGTTTCACAGGCTTCCCGTCGACCACCACCGCTGTTTCCTTGTCTGCCAGGCTCGCGCATGCCACTAGAGCAGCGACGTAAGCCTGCGAGTCCCGTTCGAGGTCCATGCTCTCGAAAACTTCCAAAGCCAGCTCGACTTCCCCGTTCTCTACGTAGCCCAGGATCAGAGAGTTCCACGAAACGACGTCGTGAGATACCATCCTGTCGAAAGTCGCACGGGAATCCAGCATACTCCCACACTTGGCGTACATATCGACCAGTGTACTTGTCAAGAAGATCCTGGAGCCATAACCGGACTTTTCAGCCTGTGAGTGAAGAGCCATTCCCCTCTCCAGACTGTTCACTTTCACTGCTCCTGTGCCAATATTCCTGCCCAGTTCACTCGCCGCCAAGCTCGCGCATGCTGTTGCGGCAGCTACAAACGTCAAGTCGTCGGGTGCACAGTCCATTTTCGAGAAGAGCTCCCAGGCCATATCGCTCTTTCCATTCGTCACGTACCCCTTGATGAGACTATTCCAAGTTGCCGCATCTCGAGCTTGCATGCTGTCGAAGACCTGCTTCGCATCGACCAGGCTCCCACACTTGGCATACATGTTGACCAGGCTGTTAGTTACGTAAGGATTTGAGTAATGTCCGCTGCCAATGCCATTCAAATGAAGGGCCTTACCAAGTTCCAGCTCCTTGGAGTTACTGGATGCTTTGAGAGCGGTGAGCAAAACGTTTACCTTCAGCTGTATTCCGCAATGGTTGTTCCTTAGTTCCAGTTCCACAAAACTCCATTGATCCATTTTGGCCAACATCTGCATCTGCCAAGAAAAACAATCAGAACAAAAAGAATGAAGCAAAAGACAGCGAACTGGCCTTGTTGGGTCGATCAAGTGTCCAGAATGTCTGACTCGTACACCGGCGCTCGAAACAGCAGCATCTACGGGTAGCGAGTTTTCTGACTGACATGAGGCTTCCATCTGGAAAACGCTTCAAGCTCAACTACCTACAGCATACCTCTGGCTTCCATTTTTAGGGATTAGGCAAACGACGCAGGCAGATGAAAAAAACGCATTCCCTTCCACCACTATTTACAACAGAACAAAGTACTAGCACCAACATTGTACCTTCTTCTGCAATTTCGGGAAAGATGTCAAGCGTACAGACAAATCAAAACGAGCACTTCCTTACCATCCACTTCAAATCCTTGAGCCGCTCTAAAGCCTCTAGAAGTTCGGTCTGTTTTACCAGTACGTCGCCCAAAGTCTGCATCAAGCAAGTGAGTATTCGACTGCAAAAACAATTTAAAAACTCGAGCTAAACCTTCTTAGTTTCCGCGACGTCCGCTTCCAGCGTCTTGATGCGTTCTGCAGCTAGCTCCTGCTTTGGAGGAAGTGTCGCCAAAGGCAAACTGCTTAGTTCTGTCAGCTTTTTCTCCAAGTCTTCCACTCGAGAATTAAGGACGACAGAAACGTTGGGCCCTTTCGTCACGTTTTGAGGTTCAGCAGGTGTGACTGGCCGAGGGCTCTCTTGTAATTGCTGCTCCCTCCAAATCAACCGTCGAAAAAAGCTTAAGATTCCCATAAAAAACCCGACTAAAACTGAAACAAAGCTGTCACTATCTGTAAAATGTTGAGGTTCATCAGCTAGTAGCATACGCAGACATGTAAGACGTACCTCTTTTTCGAGCTGGTAATGCTCTTTTTGGCACCATGTTTTGCTGAGTTTCGTTGCTCTCCGGTGTAGACTTCTGAACCTTACTGTCGTCTATTGTAGTGCTTTCGGTTTGTTGTTCGGAGGAAGAAGTCCCAGTCGCTGGTGAATCTACGATCTTGTCTACCACCACAACATCATCTGTTCCTAAGTTCCTTGCAATGCCGTCTATCTGTCATAAAATTAAGAACAGGAGTTAGATGAACCAACAATGAAATGGGATACAAAGGTACTATACTTCTTCCTGGACGGGCTGCATTCGCGATGTTTCTGCGAGCGTCTGCGTCGAGGACCCGACTACCTCGCCGGGGGGTGCATCACTCTCGCCGGTCTAAAGAGCAAAAGCTCAAAACCTTCCGACAGAAACAAGGTGTTTTTCTACCTGAGAATTTATGCTGACAACCTGTCTTGAATACTTTGCCTTGCCAATCATTACCGCCTGGAAAAGGACTAATAGAACTTCACGGGCGTGCTTGCCAACTTAAAACTTACCTTCAATAACTCTGGATCCTTCCAAGGTCCTTTATCAGATCTCATACATCCTCCTTCTCCAGGACATGTGCACGTACCACCTATAAACTCTGGCAGCTGACTGTATGAAGAAAACACGTCAAATTTATGCATACAATCATGTTTCACATATTACCTTGCATCCACCACTTCCAGGAGATTTGGCTGGTACTTGTATCCTAGAACCTGGAAAGTAACAACGTTTCTGCGGGCGTAACCAGTAAGTTTTATCTCACAGTGATTTTAGAAGTCGTTTTGGGATCTAGGAACCCCTTCACTGTGTTCCATAACAGCCTGAATCCAGCACCAGCATTGATAATAAAAAGCTTGTGCAAAGTCTGCAACAATCAAAATGTTTCTTTTCAGCACAAAACTAAAGGCAACAGACTTACTTCCGGGTAGTTATCCCCATCAACTTTCTGAATTCTTATAATAAGGTCCCGTGCAGTCTTACTGAAATTTTTGAGACCCTGCAAGACAAGTGGATTACCTAAGAGACTAGAAAGAAAAATTCCAAACCCATACCACACCAGAAACATCCAGAATCGTTGTTCCGGAGTCAATGTGCCGTTTAACTGCAAGCGAGCATGCCGGGAACTTGATTCTCAAAAGCTTCTCAAACTCCTGAACATGATACTTCAAGTATCTGTCCAATGTTGTCACCTGCATCAATTTGTTGGGCTCAACCTTTCCCAAGCGCTCGATGTAAATGGGCCTCCCTTCTTTGTCAACCCCATGGTGACCTTGAGGATAGTATTTTTTCACTTCCTCGATCTCACCAAACTCGAAATCCTGTACACAAACGAAGTTTTCCTCACAGTAACAAAAAGATATACAATGAGATATCATTTACCTCCCCAATGGTGTCCACCCCGTTCTCCGCTCGCCACTGCAGCATATTTGACCACATCAGTTTAGCCTTGTCAATATCAAGTCCACGAGCACGCAAGAACCTGAAGGATTAACATTAGAACTATACAAAAATTCGAAAACCATCCATCGCAAGCATTAGAGTATACGAGTACCTTCGCAGCTCGTGATAGTCGTCATGGCTTTCGGGAAGTAAATTCTCGGACACCAGTGTAGTTCTAAAAGTTTGCACGATGACTTGCTCCTCAACGTCGCGGATGTCCTGGATGGGAATGGACTGCCTCCGATCAAAGATTTTAGACCTCCTCTTGAGTGCTTGCTTGAGCTTGGACGAAGCGATGATAGCCTTGAGCGCGGCCTTCCTCCTGCCCTTCTTGCTGCCACTGCTGTTATGCTTCTCCAACCTCGGAGAGGTCAATCCGCTGCTACTCCGGGCAGGCTCTCGCGCATCCTCCAGCGCCGGAGGAGGCGGCTTCATTGAGCTAGAGGGGACATCTAAACGACGAAGCAACATTTCACCCCAAGATCCAATGCAAGAAAAGAAATCCCTACCTTGAGATTGCGATTGCGCCCGTGGTTCCTCCATATTACGAAGAACTCATCGCCGCGAGGGGGGCATCCCTGGACAAAGGAGACGAAGAATCTAGGCGCCAGGAGCTATGATCGGGCGAGCACAACGAGATTGTTCCAACGAACCGGAAGAGCCAGCGCGATCATCATCCGTTTCCAGCGACATGGAAACTAAGCGGCATTTGTTCTGCCCTATTCCCCCGCAATCGTACAAGACTTGCGGCGAGCCGTCGGGTACCAACAGCCCAAAAAGCGCCACGTCACCGGCGTGTCGACCGTTATGTTTTGTGAATTAGGGTTCTTTGCGCCAATCACTGCGTCAAGCAAATCGATGCATCCAATTCCTCTGCAAAAAATGCTTGGGCGCCTCGGTGGGCGCGGCAGATCATGGCAGGGACCATTCTCCTTTCTCAGCAGCGATCTTTCAAATGCCAAGCCTCGGATCGTGGAGTTTGCCCTTTGTGGGCGGGAACCACAAAATCTTTTTGACACAATTCAAGAACGCGATCTAATAGCTTGTATTGTAATGCTCACAGCGCTCACAGCTTTTTACGCCTTGAGGAGGGCCTTGGGAAGAAATCGCTGAAAGAGATCGTCTTGCCTGGACTGCCATGGTTGCTGCAAATGCCGGAAGGTAGACTGGAAAAGCACGCAAGATGTTTAATCAAATGCTTCTCCACGTCAAAGCAGCAGGCCGCGTGTTCGATTCCAAGACCACATGGAAAAATTTCGATGATCCGCGCTTCCTCAGCTTTCACATCGATCTGGTAAGCTCGTGCAAAATTCGTCATAAATTTGCCATTCTTTTCCTCCGCTCCTTTCATATGGATGTGTTCACAGCTTCCATCCTGCTCATCTTGATCTTGCTTCCACTTCTCGGATTCTACTTTCGCCAGTCATGGCTCAAGCCGCCCTTGCCACCATCGCCATCTTCCGGCCTGCCGCTAATTGGCCATCTCCATCTCCTGGGCAAACTCCCTCACCAATCTTTCCAAGCACTGGCCGAGAAGCACGGCCCCATTTTCTCGCTGCGATTCGGCTTTCGCCATGCCGTGGTCATCTCCAGCACCGATCTGGCGAAAGAGGTACTCAGGGTTCACGACGCAACGTTCGCTTCCAGGCCTTCCAACGTCGGAATGAACATTGGGTTCTACAAATACCTCATGGGAGGAGCACCGTATGGCGATTTATGGAAGCAGCTGAGGAGGCTCTACAGCGTGGAGCTCCTCACCTCGAAAAGAATCGATTCCTTCCTCCCGCTGCGCTTGGAGGAGCTCTCTCTCATGCTGTCAGGCTTAGCAAGAGCACACGAGAGGAATGAGGCCGTGGACATGAGGAACCTCTTGACATGCTTCACCTTCAACACCATCACCCGGATCTTGATGAACAAGAGGTACTTCCAGCACCAAGGAGAGGAGTTGCACGGCATTGATTCGAGCGAGGCCAGCGTCTTCAAGGCCATCCTGGTGGAGCTGTCCGAGACCGCTCTACAGTTTCGCATAAGCGCGCTGCTCCCTTCCTACCTCAGGTGGATCGACTGGAGCGTCTACTGGATCCGGAGGCTACACGCGAAGCAGGATCAGTTCCTGCAAAAGATCATCGACGAGCATAAGAACGAGAAGAACACATCGACGTCAAGCAAAGACATCATGGATATGATGCTGGGGCTTCTGGCGGAGGACCCGCGAGGAGAAGACATAGTGAAAGCTGCCATGACAGTAAGCCACTGTTAGTCGAATGCCTAGAGCTTGATGGATTTACTTGGCGTGCGCAGGAGCTTGTATCGGGCGGGACTGATACATCCGCGACGGTGATCGAGTGGGCCTTGGCAGAGATCCTTCACCGTGCTCCGCGCGTCTTGGGCAAAGCACACGACGAGCTCGACGCCGTGGTTGGACGCTCCCGGATGGTGGACGAGGCCGACCTTCCGCGCTTGCCTTATCTCCAAGCCATTATCAAGGAAAACTTTCGACTCCATCCCCCGGCGCCACTCCTCGTCCCTCACATGCCGACGCATGAATCCAATCTAGCGGGCTACCGAGTTCTAGGAGGAACCACCACCTTCGTCAACGTCTACGCCATCGGGAGAGATCCAGCGCTGTGGGACGAGCCCCTCGAGTTTCGTCCGGAGAGGTTCCTGGGCAGTTCCGTGGACGTCAAAGGCCAGGACTTTGAGCTGCTTCCGTTTGGCTCGGGACGAAGAGCGTGCCCGGGGATGGGGCTCGGGCTTAGAACTGTTCAGCTGGCACTCGCGAACTTGATCCACGGCTTCCACTGGAGTGCTGCCGAGGAGAATGCGCTGGAGGAAGCTGGCGGCGCTGTCATCTGGGTCAAGACGCCGCTCAAAGCCATGGCTTCTCCGCGACTTCCAGTTGAGGTGCTCGCATGGAATTGAGCATTCCACTCCTAGCCTAGAGTTGAGCATTCTAAAATCTAACCTTTCCTTGAGTCACCATTCCGTGTAGAATTCTCTTAGCGTCTTGGACCCATCCCATGCTCTTCAGGCGAAGCGTCTGCCTGGAAGAGATCCAATCGTGCAAGTCGCCTCTCCAAGCGCGAGAAATCTATGCATCGATTCCAGGAAATTCGCTCCAATTTGACGCATTCCTCTGCAACAAGCTCGTTCAGATGTTTGGGCGCCTGGGCTGCGTGGAGCGGGCGCGGCAGATCTTTGACGCCATTGCCGACAGGGACTCCTTCTCCTGGGGAATCATGCTCTCCATATACGCGCGCAGCGGCGATCTCTCAAACGCCAAGGGCGTCTTCGATCGAATGCCGAGGTGGAGTCTCGGATCGTGGACTGCTCTCCTCTCCGCATTTGCCCTCTCCGGGCATCACGAGGAAGCAAAAACGCTTTTTGATACGATGCAAGAACGCGATCTGATAGCTTGGACGATAATGCTCACAGTGCTCGCCACCTTTTCTAATATTGATGACGCTAAATACCACTTTGATCAAATGCCCGAAAGGGATCTCGTCGCCTGGACTGCCATGCTCGCTGCAAATGCCGAGCGAGGGCAAATGGAAAACGCTCGCGAGACGTTCGATCAAATGCCCGAGCGGAATCTCTTCTCATGGACCTCTCTCCTCAGCGCGTACGGACGCTCCGGTGACGTCAAAGCAGCAGGCAGCGTGTTCAATTCCATGCCCGAGTGGAATCTCGTGGCATGGACGGCTATGCTCACGGGATATTCCTTGAGCGGGGATGTTGTCGGGGCCAAGCGCGCGTTCGATAGCATGCCGGAGAGAGATCTCATCGCCTGGACAGCAATGCTCTCCGCCTATGCTTTCAACGGGCATCTTCGCTACGCGCGAGAAATCTTCCAGCGAATGCCGGAGCGCGATCTAATTTCCTGGGCAACGATGGTTGCGGCACTTGTGGAGAACGATCTACTGGAGGAGTCGAAGGAGCTGTTTGATCGAATGCCGCGGCACTGCGCTCTCTCGTCTAATACTCTCCTCGGAGTATATGCCCAAAAGGGGTACGTCCACCAGGCGCGGAGATTGTTTGATTCCATGGAGGAGCGCAATCTGGTGACGTGGTCCAAAATGCTGATGTGCTATGCCCTGGTTGGTGGGGTTGACGAGCTGGCGGCGCTCTCAAGGGGGCTCAAGGTCCACACTCTTGCCACGTGGAACGCTTTGCTGACTGGATATGCCCAGGCAGGGGATGTTGAGGAATCGATGCGAATATTTGACGCTATGAAGGAGCGAGATCTCGTGTCATGGACCACGCTTTTGACAGTTTTTCTTCATTCCAAATCTCTTTGCCCTTATGAATCTGTAAAACACGTATTTGATAGAATGCCTGAGCATGATCCAGTGTCTTTCAACTTGTTATTCACATCAGTAGCGCAGTTTGGCAATTTGGACTTAACCATAGAGTGTTTCGACCAGTTACCTTGTAAAGATTTAGTCGCATGGACGACATTGTTATGTATTTACGCTCATCATGCTTGTGTAGATGAAGCTAAAGTCCTTTTCAGTCTAATGCCAGAGAGAGATCTTATTGCTTGGAACTCGATGCTCACGACATATACCTCAAATGGGCATCTTGCAGCAGCTGGTCGCCTGTTCGATTCCATGCCGGAGCGAGACACAGCCTCCTGGAACGCAATGCTGGCGGCATACACACAGCACAACCAGCCTACCCATGCCCTAGATTCCTTCTTCAGCATCCCACTAATCCTCCCACCAAATGGAATCTCCTTTGTGTGCTTTCTCGTAGGCAGCAGCCAGCTCGGTAGGGTTTGGGACGGGCGGAGCGGCTGGCGGTCAATGGTAGTTGACTATGGAGTCAACCCAACCAAGCAGCACTATTGCTGCGTGGTTGACCTTCTAGGCCGCGCGGGGTACGTGGGCGATGCCCAAGACCTAATCGCGGGCATGCCCTTCGTGCCAGATGCCCTAGATTGGACGTGCTTGCTGGGCGCGTGTAGAAGCAGAAGCAACACTGATCGCCAAGGAGGCGTGGAAACTAGCAAGAGCGTTTTGGATTTAAACGCGAGCAATAGCGCGGCATATTCGCTTCTAGCCAACTCCATTGGCGGGAATCTTCCGTGAGCCTATTGTCTGGGGCGTCCGACGTGGCGCCCGGGCAAGCTTACCGGCCGGCAGATTCCCACGCGGAATTGCCGGTTTTTATTATGACATGGAATGGCGACGCGATGGTTTCTCACATTTGGCGTGAGATCGCGCGGTTGCCTGGGCTCCCCGCCGTCTACTGGAATTCCTCCCTCTTTTCTTTCTCTTTCTCGCTTCCCTCCTTTGCTCCACACGAGCGTCTTGTGCGTGGCTCTGCCGCCTTGCTGCTGGAGCTGGATCGATAACGGATCCTCGTGATCTAGTCGCAATAACATCTCCTCTCGATCGGGCGGTTTTGTTGCATGCTGCTGCGTGTGGATTCCTCCATCGCGCTTAGCGCCAGCGGCGACACAGGTACTAGGTTTTCGGGATTGATCGTCTTATCTTTCTTGGCCGGGAGCGGCATTGAGGCATTCGGTTGGATGAGAGATTTCTCGATCGGATCGACATTTCTTGTTTATCGTTTCGATGGGAGCTATCGCAGCGGAGGCCAAGGAGCAAACCTTCTGGACGCGAATTACTGACAATCCTCCCGATTCTCAGGTGAACAAGCCCTCTTTTCCTCGTTTTCCTCGAAAACTTATGCCAGAAAAATTCTTGTTTCCAGACAAGAGTGCGTTTCCTACTTGATGAGATTGCGCTTCTACAGTCACGGTTCGAAATCAAAGATCACTACGAAAGTAAGCTAGACAGAGATCAGCGAAAAAGTAGCGGGGATGGATTGGAAAGTAAACTCGGAGAACAAATCGTGTTGGTTCCTCCTCAGATTGATCAAGTGAAAGATGACGCGGCCGTGGCAGCGCCGGCGTTAGTTGACGAGCAGCGAGAGTCTCAGGAAGAAATCGAAAATCAAGAATGTGAAGACATCCTAGTCCAGGTTCACCATTTGAAAACATTTCAGTCAGCTGAACTATCCTTTTCGTTTTTGTTTTTGCAGGCTCTGGAAGAGAAAGCTCGAACTTTGCTCGAAGAGAGGGCCTGGTTCTTCGAGAAGGCGGAGAAAGAGCTAAGGATCGGAAAAGTGGAGCAGTCGGACCTTGCAACGCTGTTACAACTTGAGAAGGCCAAGTTACAAAGACACAGAAGCGAGCTTGTGGCCCTCGGGAAGAAAATTGTTTATAGCACTGTTGGAGCGGCTGAACTGGCACAGGTACGTGTTGGAAAGTTTTGTTGCTGCGATCTTCTAACGTGTTTGATATACTTTAGGATATTGTTGGAAAGTTGGAAAACTTACTCAATGAACGTCAAAGCCTTCACTTGAAATTTGAGGTGCAAGTGGAGCTGGGGCATTTCTTCAGACTTTTGAAGCTGCTGGAACTTCAGAAGGCCAAGCATGACATATCGAGGAAAGCGATTGAAAACAGTGTGCAAGAGTTTAAAGCCCAGGTAGAACAAGCCAGGAGCCAGCGGCAAGCGGGGGCCCCAGGGACACGTTTAGAGATCAGCGAGCAGACACCTGAAAAAGACGGAGGAAGTGAGCCAACAGAAGCTCTAAAGGAAACGATTCTTGATTTTCCTGAAGACAGCAAGGCTTCTTCTTCTTCTTCGACTGATGCCACACATTCAGATGGAAACAAGGAGAAATGGTGGAAACTCAAGAAAGAGACCAAGTCGGAAGTTTTGAAGTTGGTAGCCACCCAAGAACAACGGTGGAAAACGCAACAAGCCGTTCTCAAAGAAATGGAACGGAGGCTGGAGGTCACCGAGTTGGAAAGCCAACGGCTTCGTAACAGGTTGGAAGAAGCGGATTGCGGCGGTGGTTGTAGAACGGAGACTGAGACTTTTTCTTGGACAGCAAGTCTTCCGCAGGGCTATTCCAGCATTTATTTTTCTCCTATTTTTCAAGAGCGAAAGCCGAGCATGAAACCTCCAAAAGATGAAAAGGATGCTGAAATTTTCATATTGAAGACGGAAATCGGTGAACTGAAGTCGCGTCTTAATCAGAAGGTTGGTTGTCTATTGAATTCGAGCCTAACGTCAGTGTTGTTTTCTTAGCAAGGCGAGGACGACAAGTTTCTGGACAGGTATGCCATGCAACATGTTATTACTGCTGCTTATCATGTTATTCGTTCGACAGAATTCAAGTTCCTTCGGAGGAAAAAACCATTTCCATTGACGCGACTTCCAATAAAGCCGAGCTTAACAAAAGGTTGTTTAAAGTATTTGGAGGTTTTCAGACAGATGTATCTCGATTGTCATCTAGCGAAGGTAAGCAGCTATTGTTTCTACATTTTATCTCACTTACAAGCTGAAACCACGCAGATGATAAGCACTCAAGCATTGACTTTGGAGAGGATTTGTCGAAAAACTCGAGTGTAGCTCCCTCTCAAAACGATGACCTGGAAGCTGAGATCCAGGCGATGAAGGCAAAACGGTCTCGCGCTGCTGACGAGCATTCTCAGCAGTTGGACATAAAAGAAAAAACTTTAGCCTACGCGCAGGAATTAAACATGCGTTTGGCCAATGACATGTCCACTGCGGAGAATGCTTTGGCAGAACTGCGAGCAGAACATACTGGCTTGAGAGCCTCATTCGAAGCGAAGTGGAAAAGCTCGAGGAACGAAGTAAGCAAGTTCTACTTTTATAACCGTTCTGACATATTCTCACAGGCAGAGGAGCTAGCCAAAGGGCTAAGGATGAACATCAAGGCTCTAGAAAAGGAGCTGGCCGATAAAGATTGTCTTCTAAGCGACTGGAAGAGCAGGGTGGAAGCATGCCAGAAGGAAACCGACGCTGCTGTTTTCGAGAAAAACGAGGTCCTCACAAGGCTACAGCGTGTTATGAGCGAAATGGAAAGTCAGAGCGTAAAGATCACAAAACTGGAAGCTCGTGAGGTATGCTGGTCTTTTGAATTTGTTTTTCTTTTTTCTCATATAGATCGATTGCAGCTTTATCAAGAGCAGCTCTCGTCCGAGCTTCAAGCGGCGAGAAATAAACTCAATATCGAAGCTGTCGAGCACGAAGCACTTGGACAGCGTTACAGCCAGCTCCAATCCAGGCTGCTAGAGACAGAGTACCAACTTTCGCAGCGAGAGGAAGCTTTGGAACGATTGACGCTGCACTTGGCAGCGTCAGCGATACAAGAGCAGCGCCAGAGGCTCGAGGAGAGCAGCCGTGAGTCCCTGAGGAGCAAGCATCGAAAGAAAGAGCGCGCGAGGAAATCCATCCTGGAAGCCGAAGAGAAAATTGCAAGCATGGTTGCAGAGATGTCTCGAGCCAAGCTCGAGATGGAAGAACTCAAGTCGCAGAGTTTCCAGCTGCTGTCTACGAGAACAGGCAAATATTACTAATACAAACCTGTAAAAACTTTAAGCCTAAACCTTAAACCATGGAGCCTGCCCTTTTAAATGTGGAATATCCTTGTTAGCCCTAAATGTGAACTTTATACATCGACACAGGGGGAAGTCGTCAGCGTCCGGATCACGTATGTCGCATGGGCGAGATCCACAAGCGCGTGCTAGGCATCGCGATTCCCGCTGTTTACACTTCGAAGGGCGTGAAGGCGTGCCTAGAACTTTGGATGTCCAGTTCTAGCTGCTTGGCAAGACACGCAAGGACCGCCATCGAGACAGTGATAAGAAGTTAGGAACTAGTAACGGCTCGAGGGTGCTGTTCACGTAGGAGATGAGCTTGGCCGGCATGCAGAGGTCGGAGCTGAATTTCTACGCCCTGGCGGCCGCGTCCAGGGTGCCGCTGGTGACGAGGACACGCACTCGGAGCTTGCTCCTCGAGGATGTGAAAGACGGAAGACCTGAAAGACTTTTGAGGATCAGCAGGTCCAAGTACCCGTATCCAGTCCATTTACATTCTCACAGAGTCTAAGAGCTTAATAATCTCAAGAGCCGAGAAACCAGACTCTGTGATCCAAATGGACATGAATCGTTCTAGTTTTCTTTTGTTTTCCTCACAAGGATCCTTGAGAAGAAAACTGCATTTTGCGCGTTGCCTCCAATGGATCCACATCCAACCTCTGGAGTAGATGAAAGTTTCTTCGATACTCCTCTTTGTTTTTGTTTTTGATCCTGACCTTTTAGAACATGCAAGTCCCTATAGGGATCTTGTAGACCCACTTTACAAAATAAGCATATGGTGTGAATAATCTGTGGCACAGGCAGCTGGAAGGCCCTACAATGCTTCCAGGGGCTTCCAGCTGCCTGTGCAGCAGATTATTCATACCATAGTCCCACTTTAAGGTGAAGAAGAATGTGCTGCGTAGTTTGCAAATTCAAGTAAGAAAAAACAGTTGAAGTAAGAACGATGAAGTTTTGCTGCGTTTTTGCTTAGGAACTTGTTAAAGCTAGCAGAGGAGAAGGGTGTCAAGTACATCCCATCTCTTGTTTGTTTAAATTTTCAGGATTGAGAGTTATGCAGACAATGCTTCCAAGATTTTGTTGAATACCAACAAAGAAAATGGGTGATCGATTTTTTTTTGTTTTTCTTTCTCTTCTTGCTTTGATCAATGGAACCTTTCTGCTTTTCCTTTTAGTAAATATATTTTGTTTTGGAGAATGCTTTTTCCAAGATAAATACTTTTCATGTGGAATTGAAGCTTTTTAATAGGAAAATATTAAAAGTATATCAAGTTATCAACACCAACATATATTAATTTACCATAGACAGCAAGATTGCGTTGAGAATCCATCCTTACAATACTTTAAAATGTTAAATAATAAAAATAAAATTATAAATTGCTAGATTTGTGACTGCATGGAATATGGAAAGGGAATACAGAAATGTACATATCAATTAGCCCAAAAACCCTAGCTTATATACAAGAGCGAGTGGTCCGGATTGAAACCAATCCGACAGCTACCAAAATCCCATTACGTTAATATTAATATACGGCATCGTAGCCGTACATTTGGCCCTCACATCATCCCCTCCTCTCGGAATAATGGAAGACCATCAGGGTTTTCTTGTAGATGGGCCGGGATCTGGAGGAACATCAGGAGGAGGCATCGGCGGATCTGTAGATGGTA